TAAATCACGTGAATATCACGTGATAATCGACGTTTGAAATTTCGGACTAATGCGGTTTATAGGTGACAGCCACCATAAAAATAAGAAAACTACAAAGCTAACTAATGGAACTTATAAAAAATATATAAAAAATTTAAGGGCAAAACTATTTTATTTTCTAAAAATTTTTGAAATTTCAAAATCAGAGAAAAAGAAGAAGAGTTTTTGGATTTTCATATTTTTTTTTAAGGTTGATTTTAGTGATTGGTCGCCTGAGTATTCCAACTATTAGATCAACTAGTCCCATATATTATCATACTCAGAAACAAGTTTCTTCTTACTATATTTCAAGCTGGTCTGAATAGCTGAATTACTAGCCATCGCAATAAGTTATGCAAAATAGGTACTGCATAGCAAACCCTCAATGCTATTATAATACGATAGATTCTGACTAATTACTGGAAAAAGGAGTCTTTAACAACCTAATTTGAAATAGCCACTCAATATAGTTATTATGTCTAGACTATCAAAATCACCTTGAGAATTGAACTCAGACCTCTTAAACCTTAGTTGAACCATAGACACCATAACGTTTCAGCTAGAAACTACCTGTAACTCACGACTTTTGTTCAATTAAAGTTATACAGTGTCCACCATTGATCTGTCATAACTTGTTATCAGGGATAACCCTTTACAGATGATGCAGCACTTGCCCATTACAGGCCAGTCCTGTAAACACAAGTTCCAAACTCAATCAGTTTTATGTGTAATGTGATCACTTGCGTAACTACACGGGTTTACCATATTCTACAAATGTGATCTTTAACGCACATAGTTTGTGCGCATCCTATGAAATTCATTCCCAGAATTGAACTGGTAAATCCTGCAGTAAATTAATACTGCAATCTGCACTTGGCTAATGCTAAACTAGGATCTTTTATACTGTAACCTACAATAGGGACTCATGCTTTACAGCATAAGCCAGGGATGCCAACCCCCGGATTTTTCATATACTCAATTATATCCACTAAAATATATCCACTTTCGTGAAACTTTACTTTACGGATTCTTCTATATGACCTCTAAATGAAACGTGTTACAAATATAAAGCATTTAACATTTTTGCATAGCTTCTGAGGTTGAAAATTTAGCAATTTTGTTAATACCCAAAATTAAGCATCTCTATAGCTTAATTTCGGAGGCATAGTTTTTAAATCTAGGGTAAATTATTATTATATTATGTTTTAATATATATCTTCAGCTGAAGAATTAAAAAACCAACTGTTGCAGCTTGGGAAACTTATTCGAAATATTTTAAAAGTGGAATTTCAGAAGACTATTACATATTTGAAGTCTGGTTAGATAATAATATGAAAAAATTATTGAAATAACAGATGATAATGGAAAGTATGTTGAAGAAAGTGATTATGAAATAATAATAATGAAAGGGATGAAGAAAATCAAGAAACATCTAATACGGATGATGGTTATTTAGTAGTGTAACTAAATAATTTGTATTGAAAATAAGAATTACATTCGAATATTATATTTTCAATGGCCGTAAGGATTAAACTTAATGAACGATTATTAATTAATCGAATACTAAAAACAAAGGCGCGGCGACCAGATTTTTTTTTTTTGATAATATCTAGTATTAAGATTGTGGGAAATAATGCTAAAAAATGATCGGGGAAAAAATGCGCAGTGCTGCAGTACGATATAAATGTTTTATAATTCATACAGGCAAAACATTGACGGGTTATATATTAAAGTAGATAAAGTTCAAGAATTTATTTCGCGTCGACAAATGATTAACCTAGAAAATCAAGTCTAGTATAAGTATATTAAACCTAAATCAAAATTTAAAATACGCATATATATAAAATCAGAATATCTTTTGTCTTCAAGATCAAAAGGTGATTATCAGAAGTCTAACATAAATAAAAATAACATCATTGGAATGGATATATTGAAAAAAGTTAAAAGTAGCACTACACCTACATGTAACTACGTTAGATATGATACAAGGAAAGAGAATCAAAACTCATAAAGCTTCTTTTATCCACTTTCCTAAATCATTTATCATATGTTGCACTTCGCTAATTGGAATTAAAGATCCACTACCAACGTCGTGAATCCGTGCATTATTCAAGGCATTACTTATTTCCTCTTCATCATATCTACGCCCTATTTTATATCAGAAGATCGAAAATTAAAAGCACGTAAAAAAATGTCTAACAATAAACTCTTCAAATTTTTAAATAAAAAGCAAGGAAAAGCGTAAATACCCTCCAACGCATCTTCTAAAGCATTAAAGAGATTACTATATTCTAAATGTAAAGGCGTCAAAGTTACTGCAGTAATGAAACCATTTTTCGACTTGAATAACGCTTTCTAAATATAACAGATGAAGTATTTTTAAAAAAATTCGTTGGAACTAACATGCATCAATTCATCGCATTTACCACATAACCCCAATCAAATTCTTTTTCAAGTTGGAGAGTAAATTCTGGAGTTTGACCGTAAATCCATTCCCAAGTCTGTTAATCAAATTAAACAAATTAGAAATTAAAAAACAATATATTGAAATCAAATTGTAATAATAAATGGTGACCTTGATCTCCTTACAATACTCGATAACTTTTGGAATTGTAGATATGAATTCAACATCAACGATTGTTGTCTTTAAATAAAATAAAAAAATCAGTCAATATAATAAAAAATTCTTAACCCTGCAGCATTATTTTAATTACTTACGTTAACTCTTTCGCTAATATTGGTAAATTGATTACAATAATAATTTGTGAATACGTCTTTAACGGCCTCACAGAATGATTCGTGACTCACAGTTGAAGAATAAGCACGAAGATTTGTGACGGGTGATGGTACAGATTCCACACCTTTCGTGATAAGATTTTGCTAAGGGTACAAAATAATTTTTTTTTACAAAATTGAAATGAACATTTTAATAGTGTATATATATTACCTTATCAACTTTAAGATATTCCTTAATCCTATCTAAATCCGTATCAATAAGCATAGTACCATGATGATATGCTCTTCCCGTTATTAATTTAAATGCAGATCCAGAGACGTATCAAATAAAGAAGAAAAGAGGTTCATTAAAGAAATATCTATCAAAAAATTATTTAAATTATTCGTACAATAATTAAGGATATTTTAAGTCCTTGAATCGCTATATCATGCCTTTCTGTTACGTAGGCCGATATACCAAGCTTTGTCGTAAGAGCTCTTACGACTAATTCGGCTGAATGTTTACGTGTAAAATTACTTCTAGGCATTATTAACGTATAATTTGTATTGCCGATGTCCTTTAATACCATATAAATGAGAAATAATAGAAAGTTATTCCTGATCACGATTAAATATATAAATAAACTTGTATCCAAGTTGGTTAAAATAGGAATTTACATGGAATACCGTGCCACCTCCGCTTTTTCTTCTGATGAGCGGGATATTATGATCTTGAAGTAATCGTACATTACATTCCTTCCAAGGATTCTAACGTATATATATTTTAAGCTTTTTAATTATTAAAATACCGGTTTGGTTATATATAAGTACCTGATTTCTCCCGATAACAACACATGAATCATTTCTCCATAAGAAAAGTATAGTATGTTGTGGATTCGTATTTCTAAATAACCTTTTCTTTTTAATTTTAATATAAATTAATCAAAAGATTATTTTTAAATAAAGAATTAATAATATTTAACTAACTGTACCACTCTTCAAATGCAATGTTCGTCCATGGATCCGTTAATTTTGATATAAAACATTTGAAGTTCTTAATTTCAAACAGATCAAATAAATAAAATATGTTAATAAATAAAGTACTTAAATGTAAGTTTAAGATATAAAAAAAAAAAAAAAAATTAACAATTAACATTTATTTCTCCGTTACTTGAATAAGATCGCGAAGAAAGTTGAACGCGTGATTTTATTCTAAAGTCGCTAACAATGCGTCGCGACTGCATCAAGGGCCACATTATTTAATGACTTATTTTCAAATTAAATCTAAAAAAAAAAAAAAAATAATAATAATAAAATAATTAAAAATCAAAGTCTATAAAATATATAATTCATGAGTTATATTCTTTTATTTATTTATTCTTTTTTCTTGATAAAAACAAAAATGATTTCTTTTAGAGAATTGTATCTCCTCTGGGTAATGCTCTTAGAATGACAGTCTCTTTAAGACTCTATTATTTTATTCTACAGCGACCAAAGAAGAGATTTTTTTATTATTATTATAGGCCACACTTTGACTCTTGGAATGTTTGATCTTTAAGATTCTTTCGAGCTTCGATAGGGCCACAAGGTTTTTTCACCCAACAATATCCATTAAGGCTACTTACTAGTAACATGTCCTCTTCATATTAAAAAGATAATATAATGTAAGCTGCACTTTTTTTTTTTTTTCTTTTTCCTGATCGATATTTAAAATTTTTTTTTTTTTTTTGATGAGATTATCTAGAAAATTTTGATCCGCAGAATATGTTTTAAAAAAAAAAAAAAAATTATGAAAATTCCAATTAATCAGCTTATGGTTTGAGTATTTAAATAAATGCTTTGTCATTCGACACTTTTAAACCCTCGAAGTTTCGAAGGAACTGTTAAAGGAACAAGATATTTCGCAATTCTAGCATTGCTCTGTTTGCCATTTAATAGTTTAGCACGAAGAAATGTGTATGCAAAGTCCATTAGAGCGACGCGTTCGACCTTATGTATTATTACTCAAGAACAAAAAGAAATAATAAATGAACAAAATAAAAAACCTTTTTATAATTGGAGACCGAGATCTCCAATTGATTATTCTTTCAAATTTGTGATACCTTCATCATTGCATGACAAAACACGGAATTGTAGTTCTTTAGCTGATAAAATGAACATTTCCACCCATTTAAAGGACAATTTAGAACAGAATCGATTAGATATTATAGATGATAAAGGCAACGATAACAACAGTAATAATAATAATAATAATTTAATACAATCACAAGGGGTACCGAAGAAGAATGAAGGGAAGAATATATCAACCACTCTATTTAGAAAAGCAATTCAAACCAATTGTTTTACAAAAATATGGTCAACTTATAAGTCATTGGTAGAAAGTGGCGATTTAAAATACACGGAAATTCGTCTCATTAATAGATTAATGCGTGCCGTCAAAGAATTTGACAATGATCCTGCTAGTCGCCTAGAATATTTTCAATTAATTCACAAAGATATGGAACAAGCGGGGATAAAAAAAACCCAAGAACAGCAAAATTATTTGATAGAGGCATATTTAAATAATGATATGATAGATAAAGCGCGTGTTGTATTTGATGAAATGAACAAGTGGGAGTATTTTGGAAAACGTCCTGTCGGAAAACTCGCCTTCTGCAATGCGTTCAATATGATGATCAATGCTTATGGAATGCGATCTTATAAGCTTGAGAAGGAAGGTAAACCGGGAACAAAGTCTGAAGACCTTCGAGAAGTGACAAAATTATTTACATTAATGCATGAGAAAAATTTAACACCTAACGGAACGACTAAAACAATTCTCAAGAATATTTTTCGCTGTCATTTTGATGATAATGCAATTTCTTGGATTCGAGAGTTAAGAAAGAAAGGAATAGTTGACGCTGGTTTGGAAAAGGAAATTTTGATAATATTATTGGAACATCATAATCTCAAGGAAGCGATTCGTACTTTCGGAGATATGAAAGCAAGAAATCTGGCGCCAGACGTTTATTCATATATTCCTTTGATTCATCAACTTGCACAACACGGTAAAGTTGAAGAGTCATTAAAACTGATTGAAGAAATGAAGGAGCGAAATATTCCACTCAACACTGTGGCTTATAATGTCTTGATTGGGGTGTATAATATGACATCAAATTATGAGCAAGCAGGGCAACTTATTGAGAGTATGTTAAAACAAAACATTGAACCAAATATACGTACATTTGGTCAACTTATCAATATATATGCAAAGACGGGTAAATCCGATCTGGCTCTTCAAGTTTTAAAGATGATGACAAAATTTGGAATTCAACCTAATGAATACATTTACACTTCAATGATTGAATTGTTTGCAAATTTATCAGATATTCAATCGATGGAAAATGTATTTCGTCGCATGGTTGACAGCGGAATAAGTCCCAAAGAGGTGACTTATTACATATTGTTGATGGGATATGGTCGAGTCCAAGATCTAAACAAGTCATTTCAAACTTGTCGACTTATGATAAAGTCAGGAATTGAACCCAATGTACGTACGTATAACGCATTGATATCACTTTTCGCTCAGAAAGGGGACACGACGGGAGCTCACTTGTTATTTCATGAAATGCAACAATTTGGGATATCCCCCGACGTATACACGTATACCTCGCTTATCAACGCATACGTGAATTCCTCAAACATACGTGGCGCGGAATCGCTCTTCTCTGAGATGAAAAAGGGAAGGATTAAGCCTTTGACCACCACCTATAACGTCTTGATGAGTTATTATGTCGGACAGAAGGATCTTTATCAAGTGCAGCAAATATTTGATGAGATGATAACGGAAAGGGTTCAACCTGATAACTTTACTTATTGTTGCCTAATGGATGGATTTTGTTCTCAGAACGACCTAGAATCGGCGGTTACCATCATGAATAATATGCAAAACAATAAAATGAAACCTGATGTACAAATGTATACGGTTCTTATTCATGCGTACATGAGGAATGGAAATTTTTCACAAGCAAAGCGCCTTTATGAGGACATGATTCAAAATGATGTATATCCTACATTTGTCACGTATGCCATATTAATCGATGGTCATGCTAGAATAGGGGAATTGGATTTTGCTAGAAAACTTTTATCGGAGCTGATTTCTCAATCCACGAAAGAGACGGTAAATCAAACCGTTTACAAGGATAAAACAATTTTAAATCCAGACATATTTACCCCTTTAATGGATGCTTACGCGAAACAAGGACAAACTGAAGCCGCATGGGCGATATTTGAAGAGATGATAACATTAGGAGTGAAACATAATTTACATGTATATACTATACTTATGAGTGCGTATTATCGTGGACGCAATTATGAGGCCGTGTGGAAAATGTGGAAAGTGATGAGTAAAAATATTACGTCGAGTTCCATCTTCTCGACAAATTCAAAAATATATGAACAATTAAAAAATTTAGATTTAATCGAATCACAAAAAAACGAAAAAGATTCTTCAATGACATTGGCCGAATCAAAATGGTCCTCGTCATTATTAATATCATTTGGTTTATTGTATAGTTCAATATCAATCATACAACCACCACCAAATCAAGCGGTATCGATAATGATAGAGACTTTAACAGCTGCGAAAAAATTTAAAGCTATCGAATTAGAATGGAGAAGATTAGATAAAGGAGATTTTGAATTTGATTGTGTTAATTATAATCATTATATACAAAGTTTAATAATATCAGGAAAAATCAAATTAGCTTGTAAGTTATTAGATGAGCATCTAATTAAAGGTTGGGAAAGAGGTTTAGCTTTATCAAATATTTATAAAGAAAAATTTTCCATACAAAGTATAAAATATAGACAAGAATTATTGAAAACTTCTTCAAAATTTTATCCTCATAAAAAAACTTTATTATTATTAGCTAAATATTTTGAAAATATTAATTTTGAAATAAATCAAGGTAAAAATGTTAAAAAACATTTACAAAATTTAAAAGAATTTGAAGATGAATTTCCTGAAATTGTTAATATCACTCGAGAATTTTTTGAGTCTTGGAAATTAAATAAAAACAATTATCAAGATTTGGAATCATGGCATGGTTGAATTAATGATGATGGATGAGATGGATTGATTTGGGTTTGATGGCTGCTGTGATGTGAGATAATGATTCGGTAACTTTTGCCGATGTTTCTCAAAAATACGGACTCTACGATTTTGAAAGTCGATATTTCTCAACATAATATAATGATATAGCAAACGCTAAATTAATATTTTATTATTATTAAAAAAAATAATTCACCCACAATATGTATATATATGTATATATATATATATATTCATTAGCTTGCGCCAATTCTTTTCTTTAATAATAATTTCTCTTAATATATTTTCACATATTTATACTTGCCAATTTACATCATGATGAATTCTAAATGATTATGCAAAAGCTCCAGCTTTGTAATAAATAAAACTTCATCGTCCCCTAACTTCAAAGGTCAAATTGCTTGTCCATAAATTTCCAGAAATTTCAACATTTGACCATTGACTTCTATCAACATTTGCTTTAACTTCATTAGCTTCTGATCGATTTACAGGTTCACTATTACCGCCCCTTATCGCCCAAAGGACACTACCAACAAATCCTCTAACCATTTCAACAGCTTCTTCACCATTTACACCGCCTTCAACATGAACACTTGCTTCAAGATGACGAATTATATGAATCTTTCCTTCATCACTTTCACAAAATAGTACTCGTCTTTCGTCAATAACTTTAGAACTAAATAATTTTGCACTACGAAGAAGCCCAAGAATTTGTTCTTTTTCTTGTGTGCTAGAGACTGGACAAACGAGATGGATCACATATATTTTGGATAATTGATGAAGAAAAGGAACGATACTCTCGTAAAATGCATGATTTGGTGAATCAGGGTCAGTCGACGGATTCCATAATAATGTCTATATTTAAGGGAAAAAATAAGCAACAAAAAATCCAAAAAAAAACAAAGCATCAAATTACATAAAATCGCTCACATTCTTCATTGAAATGGATATGGTTTTCTTCTTTGGTGGTAACAGTGTATTCCTAAATAACCTAGATGCAAGATTCCTTTGATCTCTTTCTGTGCGCGTAACTCGGCGTGTTTCAGGATGTGATGGAGTCTATGTGAAAACATTTACTCAAAAGTTTGAGGTTCATATCGAATAGTTGAGTTGAATTTTCGCTTAACAAAAAAACATACCACACCAGTGGTATGTATTTTCTACCTCATTGTCTTCGTCTCTAGTTCCACGTCGCGATTGTGGATATATTCTTCTATATACAAATACCGCTAAAAAACCGACAGCAGCAGCCGCTAGAACTGCATAAGTTATAATAGAAGATGTTGGTTTTTGTGAAACTGCTTTTGAAGACATTACTAAAAGATCAAAGTACAAACGCGACCTGAAAAATTGAGATGAAACAAAAATTTTAGATGTGCATGATTCAACATCACGTGAAGTTAATTAGTGATTGGACAAGTCGATATAAAATATTTATAATCCAACTTACGGCAAATAAGAGCCTTTGTTTTGTTTTTCTCCTTTGATAAAATGGATTTTCAGAATAGACCAGGTAAGAGCAAATTATTGTAGATAGATATAGAAACTGCGAGGTTAGATCTAATTATGCTCTTTCAATTATTATAGGATCGAAAGTAGGTAGCGGAGGTGTAGCCGGCTACTCCGAAACTAATGTAGATAGACGAGAACGTCTTCGCAAACTTGCTTTGGAAACAATTGATTTGAACAAAGATCCATATTTTATGAAAAATCATCTTGGATCATACGAATGTAAACTGTGTTTAACATTGCACACCAATGAAGGGAGTTATTTAGCACATACTCAAGGGAAAAAACACCAAACAAATCTAGCACGTAGAGCAGCAAGAGATGCAAAAGAAAATAATAATATTCAACCAGCATTACAAGCACAAACTAAAATTCAAGTTAAAAAGAATTTAGTTAAAATTGGTAGACCAGGATATAAAGTAACAAAGGTTCGCGATCCAATCACAAGACAACTTGGATTATTCTTTCAAATTCAATATCCTGAAATCGGTTTAGATGTTATACCAAGACATCGTTTTATGTCAGCTTATGAACAAAGGATTGAACCTCCAAATAAAGCACACCAATATTTATTATTTGCTGCTGAACCTTATGAAACGATTTCTTTTAAAGTACAAAGTAAAGAAGTTGATAAAGGAGAAGGAAAATTCTTTACTCATTGGGATCCGGATTCAAAACAGTTTTCTTTGCAATTCTTTTTCAAAAACGATAGGCCTGGGATGTATTCCGAGGGAATTCCTCCAGGAATGGAAAGAACTCCTATTGCTAATCCTTTAAATCCTTATTATGCTCCAGCAATGCGTGGTCCAACTTTCGTACATAATTAAATTTAATTAGAAATTTAAATCTAGAAACTCAAATCTTGACACATTTTTTTAAATATATTGTAAGGTTAGTATAAGTCTCATTCAAAATATTTACAAATTCAATATATGTAAAATTTATTATTTGAAATAAACTTTCAAGGTAATCATTTCTTTAAAGAATTGATTTTTTATTTCTTTTAACTAAGGTAAGTTCAAAGAGTATCTTAATAAAAAGTATCATAACCAACAAATTATAAATTTTGGTTTTAGATAAAATAAATAAAAAATTTGTGAATATCATAAGTAAATATAATATTATATAATAAAGTTATAGAATTTTATTATAATATTATAATCAAATTAAATCAATAGATATTTCATAATTAAATTTATAATTTCTATTATTGTTTTTATTTAAAAATTATTGTAGATAAGTTTATAAAGTATTCTATTTATTATAATATATAATATAAATTAGTTTAAATATTAAAAATAAATTTTGAATCAAATTATATTTATAAAAATTAAACATTTTCTTTTACAAGAATGATAGATAAACAGTTTGAAAGTATTATAGATGCCTGTTAAAATCTTCTCAAAATAAATTTATTATACCCTTTTTTATATTTTTAGTATAATTTTAATAATTTTAGCTTTCATCATATTAAAATCATATTTCTTATTATAATATAGTTTTATCTAAGTTTTAATTGTTATTAAAAGGTTTTATAATGCTTAATTTAAATAATTTTATATAAATAATATAATCTTATATAACTATAATTACTGTATAATTCAAAATACAGTCTCCAGTGAAAAGAATGGTGGTAGAAGATCACATTTATTTTAGGCTGCGATTTTATTACTTTTTAGATTTAGGCATTTGTTTATATGCTAAAATCGGACATTAAAATCTGAATTAAAAAGATAAGTTAAAAAATAAGGTTTTTTTATTTTAATTTACTTTCTGAAATTATGCTAAGCTTTTTAGAAATATAAAGAAATTTTGTTAAGTTACTTTAGAATTAAAATATACGTAATGTAAAGGAAATTTCTAATCAATTGTGCATTCTTTTGCGTATATGTGAATGCTATGTCAGTTTACTAAATAAAACTGGCAAAATTTCTATCAGCCACTCTTCTGGTTGTCTAAGAAAATTGGCTTCAAATCAACATCATTATATTGGGTAAATTCTACAATATAATTATTTTATTATAGCAGACGACTTAAAGCAAAGTTGGAAAAAAAAGATCTCAACCTTGATGTCAGTGAACGTATGATACATTATAAGCTTAATAATCTTAAGTATATTTCTGTACTTCCAAGAAAGGTTCCTCTCTTAACCTAAAAAGTATTCACATTACAACTGAAAAAAATTGTTTTTCTGATAAAATAATACTTCAGATGTTTAGAAATACTATATATACATAGTCTCATAATGCATAACCAATTACTCCTATGGTAAAACATCCATTTAAGTTTCATGTTTAGATAATGATTAGTGTTAAAGAAAAATCAGCATTCATTTGTTTACTAAAAATTTAGATCATTATTTGTATCAAAATTCTTAAATGATCATCTGTATAATAACATAGATATATTATACAAATACAGTTAAATCTTTTAATAAGATAATAACCTAAAACACATCTCGCATAATGTTCAAAAGAACTTAAAAAAATATCTTCCAAGATGAATTCTTTCTTGACTTTTATATAGCCTAAATTTGAATCCTATTGAAAATGTATGGGCTGTATTAAAAGGAAAGGTAGAAAAAAGATCAAATATTTAGTAGCAAAAAAAATATTACTTGCAATATATTATTTAATATAATCTGGTAAAAATAAGATGATCTTAATGATATCATGTTAGTTCAGTACATAAAGAGTATGCTAAGCTGGGTTAAAGTATATATCAATACAAAAGGAGAACACACTAAATATTAATTAATAATATAAAAGTTATTATTAATATTGATCTTATAAATAATAAAAAAATATACATTAAAATAAAGTTTGTATATACCGTTAAAATATTTTTTTACCATTCTTTTTGCCAGGAACTATAAGCATTCTGTGATATAGTCTCTTTATAGTAATTTATTTATTTGTCATATAAAATTTATTATATTATTATACTAAATTTATATATATTATGTGATTCTTATTTTTAGGACTATACAATAAGATTTTTTTCAGCTACTAGTCAGTATTTAATATATTTTTTTATAACTTTTAAAACTGTTATTTTATATACTATGCCAAAAAAATAATAAACACTAATATGCTTTATATTTTATTAAACAAAAATAAGATGATTATTACTTATGTTTATTAATATAAAAATAAAGCAGCCAAACAATTTAACCTTAATAGAATTATCTCTTCAATTATTTTGCCTAGGCAATTTTATTTATTAATTACAATCATTTCTAATTATTTTTAAATAAATTATTAAAAAAAATTAATACTTTTATAATAAATTTTATGATATTTTCTAAGTAAAATTAAAAAAAAATGTAATTAATTAGTGATTTTTTAAAGATAAATAAATAATAAATTATTATAAAAAAAATTAAAATTTTAAATTTATATATCTTATTATTTATCAATCTCAGAAATATAAAAATACTACTATTTAAATTGATCTAATATGATGAATTTAATAAACTAAATTTTATATTTCTATAATTATTAAATAATAAATTATTTTTAAAATTAAAAAATTGAAAAATTAATATATATTGGTAATTATGAATTTTAAAAGTTTAAAAATATTACTGTTAGATATATCATTATATGATAAATCTAAAAAATTTTATTTTATTTTTTTTATAATTATTAGATATCAAAATATTTTAAGTTTTCTAAAATATTTTAGAAATAATTTTATATTTACAGTTTAAGAGATAGTTAAATATTGAGTTAAAATAAGTGAAAATTAGATAAGTGAAACATAAAATAATTTTATATAAATGATTTAATAAAAAGTTTATTTTTCAAAAGTTTAAAAAAAAGGAAAAATGTATTTGTAATATCCTGTTACATGTCTTATTTGTAACATCCTTTTTTATTTTTCTTAATAATAAATTATTTTATTAAATATTTTATAAATAAGATTTTAAATGCAAAATTTAATTTAGAAAACATTTATTTAATGTATTAAAGATAGTTTTAAAATTTTTAGTTACAAACAATTTTTTAAAATTTTTTAAAAAAATTATTATTTTTATTACATAACTGATCTTTTGTTTTGATTTGCTAAATTATTGATATTGCACTTGATCTTAAATTTTGATTAGATAAAATTTTGGGTTTATAAATAAGACATATAACAGGATATTACAATTAGATTTATCCTAGAAAAAATTATATAATTAAAGAAAAATAGTATTAGCAATAATTTTTATAATTATAAGATTTCAAATATTTAAATTTTAAATAAATCTTATGATATTTTAATATAGTGATTTATAAATAATTTTGCAATAATATTTCAATAGTTAATTGCATTTATAAAGATATAATTTAGCTTTAAGAAGATATATTAAAATATTTAAAAACTTCAGAATAATTAGAAATTATTAAAAAGTTTTTATCAATTATCATTTGTTTTAAAATAAGAATTCTATTAAATTGTATAATATTTTAATATAAATAAAACTTTAGTTTAGTTTAATATAACTGAAAATATTACTATCAGTCAAAAGAAGAAAATACATTTCATATTTATAATATAGATAATAAAAAATAATTAATTTATTATTATTTTAATATACAGTCGACCCTCTCTACAATCACACCCTTCGGGATCGCCTTATGGTATGATTGTATAGAGGTGTGCTTATATGCGATTATGTAATTAAATACTGGTATTAATGTATTTATTTTATTACATCTATTACATCTATAGTTTAT